GTAACTTAATCCATATTTCACAGATGAACAACAATGGAGGCGCAAAATAACTCGGGCAGTTTGATCAATCACACACACACACACACACACACAGAGAGAGAGAGAGAGAGAGAGAGAGAGAAGCATACTGCAAATCATTGTGGAGTTGAGTCTTAAGAATCAGGTTTCCAGGGGTGCCTGGGTGGCTCAGTGGGTTAAGCTGCTGCCTTTGGATCAGGTCATGATCTCAGGGTCCTGGGATCGAGTCCCGCATTGGGCTCTCTGCTCGGTGGGGAGCGTGCTTCCCTCTCTTTCTCTGCCTGCCTCTCTGTCTACTGTGATCTCTCTCTGTCAAATAAATAATCAAAATCTTAAAAAAAAAAAAAAAAGAATCAGGCTTCCAGTTTTGAATCTGATGCTCCTACCTACCATCCCACATATCTAGGTATCCACGCTATAGAGCACTGGCAAGGGAGACCCTGCAGAAATACCTGCAGTGGCCATTTCTTTTCTTCTTGATGGAGGATGCTTGCTTCAGGGGAGCATTGCACTTTGAATCTGAGGTATCTAAAATACTGATGGGGGATAAGCAGAACTCTAGACAAAGTAGAGAAAGTAGCCTGAATTTGCTCCCGCATTAGCGTCCTTAATCCCCTCCTTTCACCTCATGTCCAGGTTCCTAAGAAAACCTTTCTTCCATTCCTTGGGGGAATAAAGGATTGAAAACAGTTTACACTGTTAAAAGGGTTATCCTTCCAGACCTTAGCTCACCTTATGATTATGTGGTCTATGCCTCAACTTACAAGACAGGCACACCCAAACTCATTATCTTGTGAAAATGAATTAAGGAAATCTCACTAAAATGGAGTCAGCATGGGGAGCTGTCACACACTTTCACTCTTCATCTATTGCTAATCCAATAGGAAAAGGTGGATTTTGCATGTGGCTCCTACTTGACTACCCCAGCAAGAGAAAGGAAAGCTTTCTTCTTCTCCAGGCAACAGCCCAGCCAGTGAGAGACAGACGTAACTCAGCCACTGGGAAGCCACTATACTTGAAACCCCCAGTTTACTCCAATGGGCTTGTCCTTTCTAACAGCCCTATCAACCTCCCACTTCCTCTAGAAAAGAGCATTCCTCTACTTTGTTTCCTGGACTTATCTATGGTTTTGATGTAGTTTCTCTGTCCTAGATTGCAGTTTTCTGCTAGTCCTTAATAAACCCATATTTGCTAGTAAAATAACTGGCAGTTTTATTTTTAAGGTTATTAGTCTCTGGGAGAGAGTACAAATTTTTAACAACTGGCATAGCATGGGCAGACAACCAATGAGAACAAACCTGAGTCATAGTACTCAGTGGGTCTTGGAGCCCCCCTGCCCCTCCATAGTACTAGGTATTACCTACAGCTGCTGATCCATGGGTAGGTCTGCAAGAGTCCCGGAGCAGGGCTGGGCACCCAGGGCCAAGGAGGGTACTTTGGGGGAACTCTGGGCATTGGCCATTGCCAGCTAGTGCCAAAGCACTCGGACATTTCCACACATGCACCACCATACTTGTGCATGCCATTGTATATTAATACCAATTGTCTTGTTTAATTTTTTCTAGGACCTGAGGAGGAAGATACTACATTTGCTATTCAACAATGGAAGAAACTGAATCCAAGAAACATGCCATCCAACAACTCCTCAGGCTCTCACAGCTAGTGAGTTTCTGGCAGTTGGAGAAATTCAGGGCATGGAGTACTCAAAGTGGGAGGCCCTTTGTGAGACAAAGGTTGAGGGGGGCCTTGAGCAGGTCAAGGGCACCACTGAGGGCTCAGACCCCACCAGATGTCAGGGAGCAGGGGATGGGGAAACAAACACAGAGAAAAGGTATGTGTGTGTGTTGATGCTGACTGGGAAGATGAAAGGGGATGGAGGTGGGCAGACATTGAGAAACTGGGAATAAGCCTGCCCTCATCACAGGTTTGCTGTGGCCAGAGCTAGTCCTGAGAGAAACAAAGAAATCATCTTTATTGTTTGCTTTGCCTCTTGCCCTGTATGTGAATATTGTCACCCAGAGAATGTGATCACATTTGGAGGACTATCTGTGGCATTTCATTTTAGAAATAGCGGTGTCGGGGCGCCTGGGTGGCTCAGTGGGTTAAAGCCTCTGCCTTTGGCTCAGGTCATGATCCCAGGGTCCTGGGATCGAGCCCCGCATCGGGCTCTCTGCTCAGCGGGCAGCCTGCTTCCCCCTCTCTCTCTGCCTGCCTCTCTGCCTACTTGTGATCTCTGTCTGTCAAATAAATAAATAAAATCTTTAAAAAAAGAAAGAAAGAAATAGCGGTGTCTTGTTTATCAGGGGCTGCTGATCAACCGCTGAAGCCTGCCCCCCACACCAAGCCCTTGCAGTTGCCTGGCTGGGTAAACTCCTGAGCTCTGTGGATGGTGATGTGAGCGATGAGCTGGTTCTTGTTGAGGTAGGACCTCTCCCTGAAGAAGGCTGGGGCCCAGGTGGTCAAAGAGCAGGAAACTCAATTAGCTCTTCTGTGGATGGAGTCTGAAATGTTAATCAGCACTTGCCCAGAATTCCAGGTACTTCCCTCACCCCTCCCCTGCTATCTGGGCCTGGGTGGGATTCAGGTCCCTCCTGTTCTTCCTGGAAAAGCACAGACCCTTTTTAGGCTGTCAGGCAAAGGCCTCGCTGCTTGCCCCCTGAGAGGGGAGTTTAACATCATGGTAACCTGTGCTCCAATGGGCTTGCCCAGCACTTGGGATGTATGAAGTCTCCAGGAGTGGCAGCCTTGTGGGAAAAGCTTATGATGTGAAGTGGTATGAATCTCTCTACTGGGTTTTCCCAGAGACCCTAACTAGGGGCTAAGAACCAGGCCCAGCTGCCCCATCAATGAGCAAGTCCCATGTCAGGTTTCTCCTGCAGCCACTCTCTTTGACAGCACATGCCTTTTCCCAAACTCTATGCTGCCTCCCAGCAAAGGATATTCATATGTGCAAATCTTGCCCCAAGTCCAGAGTGACCCAAGAAACGCCCCAAATAGAAAACTTTTTTCTAGGCATGCGGCCTATCTGCAAAATGAAATCTTTCTTCCTGGGCATGTTGGCAAGGTGTTCACCACAAACCTCTCAACAGAGGCTGACATTTCTTATATTAAACACTAACTGCAATTCCTGAGGATTAGAGTCTCCTCAGGAGATTCATCTTCTTGTGTTTTTCCTTGCTGGTCCCTAGGTCTCTGCCAATTTAGAGTCAGAGACAACACATCACATGATTCCTTTTAAAATTGGGCTCTGGCTGCCGTGGCTCTGCCTACCCACTGCCCATCTGCCTGCTCTGAAGGCAACACAAGGATTGGGAGGGGTGGGGAGACAGCCAGAGAGCACACAAGTAAGAACTGAACTATTTGACTGGACCTGGTCCTAACAGAGGCAATTTTATTACCCTAAATGTCCTGGAAACCCTGGTGCCTCTGGCGCGAGAAGACTCCAGGCTCCGTCATCCTGGACAGCAGTCTGAGCTAGCCTTGGCGCCCTTTTGCAAGTGGCTGTAATGTGAGTCACAGGGGCAGGCTCCAGGGAGGCTGAACAGGAGGTGGGCATGGAGGAAAAAGGCTCTGTCTGCCCTGGCCTCAGGGGAGAGAGGCCAGCAGGCTGGGATGCCCAGTGGGCCCCCTGGGATTTGTGGTGAGGACTGGGGGGTGGGCATTGGGGAGGAGGGTGAGCCCAGAGGGGACAGGTCATGCCAGGCCAAGCCCTGTCAGAAATGGCCCTGGTGTTGACTGTTGGGCAGGGCCCATAATATCAAAACCAGACATTGCCTTAGGATGGAAAGAACATTCTGGATTCTTTCTCACAATCCTTTTCATTTAGGTGAAGGAACAGTGAGGTCCAGATTCGTAATTCTTTCCCTTGGTGAAAGACTTCTCTCATTCAATGAAGGAGCCTCATACTCTTATGGTGGTTTATTGATGTCACAAACAAAGCATACTTTATTTTTATTTGAATTGGTCAGTTAAAACATTCTATGCAAGGCAAACACTTCATCATGAAATATTTAAATTAAAAATAAATAACTCAGTTCCATCCTACAGAAATCTCCTGCTGCCCCATATAAATGGAGGACATCAGCTATTGACTAAATAAGTTGAAATAAATAGTTTTAGGATACTCTGATTGATAGGTCCAGCATAAATCACCTGTTTGCTTTGTAACTGTGCTCCAGGCCCCGTTATCGGTACTGTGCAAGACTATTAGTCCATTGAGACTAGGCCCTCATTGGAAGAGTACTCGAAGCCTGGATCTCCAAATCATGTTCCAACATGAGGATTGGGTGCTGACCATCTAAAACAATGGCTGAAGGGTAGGGATCCTAGCAAGATGAAAGCGAAAACCCAGTCCTCTTAACCCTCCATGCCTCCTTACGGTTCACCTGGAGATGCGGAAGCAGGTAACTTAGCAAAAGGTGACACATGGCCAGAGTGGTAGCCTATGAGTAATGGTTGAGACTGGTAACGTGGCCAAATTCCTTATTGTACTAAGACGTGGTGATTTCTGGCTGAGTCTCCGACTCCGTGTCACCATGGAGTGTCTGATTTTGCTAAACAGGTTAGATTAATTTAAGCTTCTGAATTAGAACACAGCCTTCTGGGGGCAGAGTTGAGGCTACGGATGACAGCTATGCAGGACCCATGAGCTGATGGCCTGCACAGGCCGGCATTCCTAACTGACCACTGCACGCCTGCGTCTCAGACTCTGCCGCCACACGGTGCTCCTGGCGGCCTCTGCCAGTCATGTGTGGTTAGCATTTGAGATGAAAATTATTTACTAACCTCGGTCTTTCTCTGTGTTTGGAACTATTCTGTGTGAAGGAATAGATACAAACACCAGGCACTGAATCCTGACACCCATGTGGGCCAGGCGCCTTGAGACTAATCATTTAATGGCTTTAAACTGTCATCATTGGAATGGATAAATAAGGACATCTCACTCAGAGTTGTGAGGGAGAATGTATGTAAAGTGCTCAGTGTCATGTCTGACGCATGGTAGGCATTTAATAGATGAGAGCTGTTGTATTGTATGATCATTGTAAGTCTATTGATGTTAACTATGGGATTGATGATGACATTTCCATTAAAAGAAGGAAAGCACAATATTGTATTATATACTAAGTTGAACCATATGAAACTGATCGGTTGTTTCTGACCTACAGAGAAGGCAATTTCTTCAAGGTCAACCCAATACTTAATAATGTATTTCATTTAAATCACTTACTTTTTCCAACCTTATCAAATTTTTCCTTTCAAACATTGCTCCCAGAGTCCTATTCCTACCCCTCCAAACCTTCCTCAAATCAGTTGCTAGAGTGAGCAAAGCAAGGAGTCTGGCAGACCTGAGGACCTAGTATCCTGTTCCACTGTCTCTCGTAAGGCCTTGGCTTCGCCATCTGTAGACTGGGTACAATTGTGCTTTCCTTAGCAAGGATAATGGACGGGAAAGCACTTTCAAAAGTTAAAATCATTTTGCCAATGCAAGGTATTATTAATTTCACTAGCCTATGCCACTTCAGAGAACATTAGCATTCAACATTTAATTTTTAATCATGTTTCTCTATAGAAAAGCTGCACGTAAAAGAATAGAGAATTCATGCAATCATGCCAAATGATCAATACTGATCTTGAGAATACTGTGAAATGAATATTAGAACTATAAGTAAATATATAGTGCTTTGTCTTTAGAAATTATACCTTGTCAAGATGAAATAAATGTGATAAGAGGAATAGTAGGAACCACTGTGTTTACAAGGGCCTCAAACATCAAGCTCTTATATTTTTAACAGAAATCACATACATTAGAACAACTCACAAGGAAGACTGAGGAATTGCCTGCTTCCTTCCCTGGAGGTCTTTAAAATGGGTTGGGAAAGTTTGATTGTGGTGTGATTTTGCTTTAAGATAAGGACAGAGTTTATATCTATCTCCCAAAGCCACTTTCAGACCAATGGCTTTATTGGTTCTAAGAAGGCACACTTTTCTTTTGCCTTCCAGGGGAGTCCCTTGCCTGTACCCTAAGCCAGGGCTATTGGTTAATAAGAAATGGTGATGTGTTTGGACCAGCTACTAGCAGAGGTGAATGTGGCTCAGTTCTAATCTGAAGTTTTCTCCCCCATATGCAGTGAACTTTGACCAATGCATGGCCCCTGGGGAGAGTCACCTTTAGTCAGCCTCAAAGGCACTGTTGGTAGCACCCACATATTCAGACTTCTTCTTGTGCCTTGTCCACATTTTCCGGAGGAGGCTAGGGACCCCGCAGGAAGCACTTCCTGTCAGCGGTAGGGAGGCTTCTGCTCCCTGGGGCAGGGTCGGATACTCTTCAGTCATCTTCTTGAGATGTCTGGATCTAAAGAAAAGCCAGGGGGGAGGGAGGACAGTTATTTCACAGAGTCAGACTTTTAATGTTTGCCCTCAAGGAGTAGACACAACTCTTACTTCTCTTCTGCTCATACATCCTGTGACCAGGATAGAGGGTCACTGTTGGGACACATGTACAGGTGACTTCTTTTGGAGGATCCTCACATGGGGTGAGGGAAGGAGGTGGCTCTGGGCACAGTGGTTCATGGATCTCAAGTTCTGCTCATGTCCCAAGTTCTCCTTTCCCACCCATCCCACTTATAGACCAACAATCTTGATGGAAAGGGCAAGCTTCCCAAAGCCTTAAGCTGTTGAAAAAGTTTGAGTCCTAGGGGTACATGTGGCTGCTCACTGACTGGGCTCAGGCAAGTGACTTAATCTCAGCCAGCCTCAGTTTCCTCATGTACAAAAGGGGGATAATATCATCAAACTCACAGGACTTGTGAGGAGGAGAATGAGCTAATAAAGCATTGGGCTCCTTGTAGACCTTCATGAATATTTATCTTTCTCCTCACAGATGAAAGAAATGGCCTTCCTTTTCAGAAGCCAGCCTCCAGGAACACATGGAAATGAGGACATCTGAGCTCAGAGAGAAAGGAACCATGGAGAACCTTCTGGACACAGCTATATGGAGCAGAAAGGTTGGTCTTTTTAGCTTAGCAGGTTGTTGTGGGCTTACTCCAACTTCCAGCAACAGCTGCTGCTGCTCAGGACCATTTGAACTAGACCTTCAAACAATTCATGTGCCTTTCTGATTTTTCTCCAGTTAGGTCCCAGTACATTGAGTGACTTGGTTTTTATAATTCTTTCTAGATGATTTTCTTTTATCTAGAAGAGCTTCATATTGGTTGCTTCCTCCTTGGACTCCCAAGCTTCCAAGGTGTACACACTTGGGTTGATATTTTAGCCCATGGTCCCTCCAGTGTACACATCTCACATGCTCCCAAGAATGTGTCTTTCCAACTGCTAGATTGTAGGTTTCTTGAAAAATAAAACAGTCAGAGTTTGTGCTAAGTTCTTCACATATCATCCCATTCTGTTCTCACAATAATCCCTCAAGAGGGGTGTTACGATCATCCCCATTTTTTTGTTTTTGTTTTGAAATAAGTGAGGGCATGGAGGTTACGATAACTTGCCTAAAGTCATAGTGGGTTAGTGGTGGCCCTGGGCAAGCAAGAAGCTGGGAGTCAAGAGCCCACACCCTTCATTACCCCCTAAGCCTCTTTTCTACTTTGTGTGGTATGGACGATTGTGGCGGGGCATCAATGTACATGTTGATTTGAGTTTCAGACCCCTGCTTGCCATTTTCTTAGTGCAACCTTGAAGGCAGTGAGAGAATTGCTGGGGTGGGGAGGGGACTATCTACTCTCCTGCTACTCTCGCTGCTGGTTCTGGATCAGAGTTAACAATAACATGGGGGTTAATACATTTGGTTTGAAACTTTGGTATCTTACATATTTCTTTACCTTTGGGCCGGGGCCCTTCACCTAATTCATGAGACATTTCTGACACCACTGTGCCTACAGGGAGGCTCAGAATGCGACCTGTGATTACATTTATCTAATTAACCAAAAACTCTCCCAAATGACACTTCTCCAAGTCTAAAGAGTGGTGTTAATGAAGTGGAAACCATCAAAAACACTTCAGCTTAATCCTAGGGAAACAGTTGATGAGGCGCCACAGAGACCCAGGATTATTGCCCTCATTAAAAGGTAATTTAGGGGCGCCTGGGTGGCTCAGTGGGTTAAAGCCGCTGCCTTCGGCTCAGGTCATGATCCCAGGGTCCTGGGATCGAGCCCCGCATCGGGCTCTCTGCTCAGTAGGGAGCCTGCTTCCCTTCCTCTCTCTCTGCCTGCCTCTCTGCCTATTTGTGATCTCTGTCTGTCAAATAAATAAAAATCTTTAAAAAAAAAAAAAAAAAGGTAATTTAAAGCTGGCATGGGTTTTGTGTTAGCATCTTGAGTGTCTGTAAGCTGGGGCACCTGTTATTCTTGTGTGACAGGACCAGGAGTGGGTGGGGAGCCCTGGCACTTACCCCCGCGTCAGAACAGCTCCCTTCTCCGAGGCTGTGGCCGCCGCCTCGAGCACGCTGGGGGCTTTCACTGAGATCCGGGCCACCGGAGGAATCTGCGTGGTGCAGAAGGGGAAGGGAAGGTGAGGATGTGGCCATAATCCCAACTCTGGCATTGACCTGAGCAAGTTGAAAGGGGGATGGATCTGTCCATCCACCACCCAGGGCAATAATCTTCATGCTTTCACTGGCATCGAGACTCCCCTGAGGGGCTGGTCACCACCATGCGTGGCCTACCCCAGTTTCTGATCCAATAGGTCTGATATGGGCCTGAAAATCTGCATTTCTAACAAGTTCCTGGGTGCTGCCAGACCCAGGACCCCACATTGAGAACCACTGACCCAGAGAACTTGAGGGAGAGAGAGAGCACAACTCAGTTTTACCTGAAAACTCTGTCCCCCGCCCCCACCCCCATTACCTGTGTCTACTTTGTTGTCAAATCCTGCAGATTCATGCTTTGAAAGACTGCCTTAGGTAGTGCCATCCTCCCCCATCTCCTCTGCCACACGCAGCCTTCCAATCCAGTCACCCGGGAACTCCTTGCTTTGGACCAGCCCCACCACTGACTCCAGCCCTGCTGGATTTGAAGTGCCTCCCCACTGCAGGCCAGACTGAGGCTAACTCTGGAAGCACAGGCTCCTCAGAACCCAGCTCTCCCTCATCTATGCAGCTCTACCTCTGTTAATCCCCCGTGGGTACTATGACAGCTCCCATCCCAGTATGGCTGGTCCTGCCTCCCCTCCTGCTCACGCTCATTCCCATGCTCAACAAAGCTTTTCCTCATGCACATGCGCAGCTCTGCATCTTCCTTAGGCTTTTCCTTCATCCTCTGGACAGAGCCTCGATTCTGCCTGCCCTTCAGGGCCACTTCTTCCTGGAGGTCTTTCCTCAGGCTGGTGGCCTGAGTTGATTTCTCTCGGTCCTCATGCCCCATGTCCCCACAGTACTGAGTACCTATGTGACATATTTCGGCATTTCCCCAGTTCTTTCTATGGTTCTCTTCTTGTTTCATAGGCTCCCAGTTCTCAGAAAAGTGCTATGATGTGTGTCAGGGTCTGGCACTTAATCCCTTTGGTGGTGCTCTGCAGCCTTCCTAAAGGAGATGGTGAGTGCTCAAGAAGCATGATGACCTAACGAGGGTTAAATCCAGAATTGGCTTAGTCAACAGGCATATGCTATGCTTTGTTCCTTCACCCCAACCCCACTGAAGGCTTAGGGTCACCACATTCTTGGAATTGCTGGGAAATTCCAGGTAGAGGACATCATGATTAACTGTCCCCTTTTCTCCCTAGCTGGCCACATGTTGTGGGCAGAGTTACTGTGCCACCTTGTGGCCTCTCGGGAGCTCTCCCTCCCCATCGTGCCAACAGCCCAGCCCCAGGAACATACACGGCCTCTCCTTCTCCACTGTCCTCAGTCCTCCACCAGTGCGTTGCAGCACTGAGTCAGAATTAGCTGTATGAGCTCTGACTCATTCTTCCACCCTGGGATAAGGGGCCTCTGATCAGCTGCAGGACCCCTGCTTCACTGTCTCAGGCTCAGGGGAAAGAGTCAGTCCTGCTGCCTTTCTTTTGTCATGGTCCCCATGACCATCCTGTCCCATCGCAACTCCTTCTGGTCTCCCAGAAGCAGTTCTCTGCCAAGGCTACTATGTGAGCCCAGCCCAGAGGCTTGGAGCAGGTAATCCAAGGATGTGAGCCACCCTCTTCCCCTTAACTTTGGTCTTCTTCTGACCACAGCTAAGGGCAGCTCTTTTAGCTGTCACAGCCTGGAAATCTGTGGCAATGGCCCAGCCATCCTCAGTTTCTCTTGAGGACTAGGTTGGGGCAGAGGGCTCCTGATAAAACAGATTGGCCCACCTCTCCTCTTTCTGTGGTTCTCCTAGTACAGGGATGACCTAAATGAGGTATTTGGATTAGATTTTCTGCTCAGACAGGGAGCAGAGGGCTCACTGTCCAGTTTGTTCCAGAAGGATGAGTGGTCTGGCCCACACAATCTCCAGGATCTTTTCTAGTCCTCACCTGGCACGATCCACCCATCTGGGGAGCTGCTGCTCACAGAGCCCAGGGTGCCTGAACTGACCTCACCTCTAGCCATGATTCCACCCCTACTGTGCAATCCTAAAGGGTACCCACATTCATGCCCAGAAGAAGATGCAGGAGATTTTTTTCCCCAGAGGGACCCTGAGCTAGATCTGGATGTGCACCCCCTGATCTGTCTTCAAAGAAGGACAAGCTGCCACCACGGGGGCAGCTCATGTACCATAATGGAGCGAGGAGGAAACAAAGGCTTGGCCATTTGGGCCCAACTCGGGACAAGGGGGAGGGGTAGCAATGGCCCCAGAACTTATGCCAGGAGGTATCCAGTGTGCATGGCAGTTCAGCCTCCTAGCAATCCGAACTCCCTCCTCCTGTCACAGGTACTGATCCCTAATACAAATCTCATACCCCCTACCCTGCTTCTCAGAGTCTGCCTCCAGAGATCCCCGACTGGGAACAGACATCCTCCAGAGGTGTCCTGGGTGCAGATGCCTGGTGTTTCATGTTTTCACAACATTTAAGACCCTTGACAGGCAGCTCTTGACCCTCTTAGCTGCCCCTGGGAATTAGTTGGGCGTGTCCACCTGGCATGGGCCTACCACAGAAACCACTTCTTTCTCCCTGTGTTTGAGATGTCCCCTAGGCAATACCTTTTTCTGTTTGCCTGAGGGCTAGATTTCTGGCAAGAAAGAGAACACCATCCAGTGTTGTGCTGTGAGCTGACTGACATTGGGAGCCGAAAACCTGCAGGTAGGCTTTTCTAATAATCTTCAGGGCTGCAACAAAGGACAGGGTGAGGAGTTTAAAGCACAACATGGAGAACTAACCAGGCTTATTTTACTTACCAAAGACTTTCCATATGCTCGATTCCCACACAGATTGGATGATTTGGGTTCCGAACTCCCCACTGCAAGGTTGAACAGAGGAGGCATTACTCAGTGGTACTCTGTGTTCCACTTCCCCCCCGCTTCTGCGTCAATGATCTCATTAGCTAATCAGTCACAAGCTGGGAATTTCTAAAGGCCTTTGTGCCAAGCAGCAAGATTGGGCAGGAGGGTCAGGCAACGGGACAACTGTCGAGTGGGTCACCTGCATCCCTGGCACTCTTCCGGGTGTGGGCTGGGTGGGGAGGGTAGAACTAAGGTCTAAGAAGATCATGTGTGTGGAAGCATTAAGTAGTATGTCTGCAGGCAGTAGGTGCTCAGAGAATGTGCCCTTAGCTTGTCCTTCCTTCCTAAGGTGCCACATCACAAGAGGTTATCAGGAGTTTAGTCTTTACTGCCTGGATCGATTTAGCTTGCTAAATCTGTGCAGTCCTCTCTGGAAATGAGCAGAGAAGCCTGCCTACGGTGGGAGGCCCAGCTTCATGATGTGCGAGTGTTGGAGATTATCAGAGTCCTGAGACATTGGCTACACAGGACTTACGTGAGAACCTTCTTGCTATGCCTTTATTCCTGAAGCCCGGCCTACTTCTGAGTAATCTCTACCCTGAAGTCTTTAGCTTCTGAAAATCCAGGTGTTGTGCTGAGGGAGCTGGCAATAGGTAGGGGAAAGTTGGCTTTCTATCTAGTCCTCTCCTTGCGCAGACATTCCAGAACAAGCCCCATCCTATCACACTATAAAAATAGAGATAAAACACTCCCCAACCCAAGGAAGAAAACATTTCAATGCTAATAAAATGAAGTTAAAGACTACCAAGATTGAATCATAACTTATAGTGTATAAGTAATAATAGCAGCTCAGAGTTTTGAGTATTTACTGTGTCAGGCACTGTGCTGAGTATAAAACACATAGACATTATCTCATTTAACCCTTACAATAACTTTGTTAGGTAGGTATCATAATAGTCCTCACTTTCCAGATGAGGAAATCGAGGCCTCGGAGATACATAACAGAGGAAGCCAGGTAAGGATGATCTAGGGAATGGCAAACTGCTTTGGGGGACTTGCAGGGCTGGAGAAACGTGACTGAGGGACACCCTAACCCATTATGGGAGGTATTTGCCAGGTAGAGACAGGGAGGACAATCTGCAGAAAGAAGAGGGTCCGGGAAGTTCCCGGAAATAGAATATAATGGCGCAGTCCCAGAATTGCACTGCAGCTCAGGGTTTCTGTGTATATGGATGGGTGGGGACAGGAGTGTGTCACAGGAGGTGGCCCTGGAGAGGCCAGCAGAGAACAGATTCTGGGGGGCTTGAACATGGTCTGGAGGGCAGTGGGGGTAGGAAGGACACTGGAGCAGAAGGATGGCAGAGGCAGATTTCTGCTTTAGACAGACTCCTCTGGTAACCTTGTAAAGGAAAGAAGGACTACTGGCTGAGGGCCAGGCTTGGAGGCTACACACCAGAGATGAATTGGGTCTGAGCCCGGGTAGCCTGAGGTAGGTACCAAGAGGGAGAGATGAGACATATACAGGAGTTGACATTGTCAGTGTTTAGTATGTGACGTGGTGGGTGGAGTAGGGGTAGGGAGGACAAGGGGGTGTTAAGGAAAATAACCCTGCTGAGAAAGGAAGGGATTCATTCCATTTGAACAAGTTGGTTCTGAGGTGCCCGAGGACATCTTGGTGGAGACATTCCATAGGTGGCGGATTCTCCAGGGCCTAGGAGGTGGTTGTCCCCATTCCAGGCATTTGAGGCTCACATGCTCAGGGCCTCATGGTGAGAGAGTTTCTTAGCTGGGTCTCTGCCTTCAGAGTCCCTGCAATTTCCAAGATTCCTCAGAGAATCTTTCTCCCACATGTGAAAGCTACATCATCCAGGAGCCTTCTCCTACAGCTCAGAAAAGAAGCAAGCCCCCAGATCTGAGATCTCTGGAGACACACATCCTTCTGATGGGAGGATGGAAGACTCAGTGCCTCAGCCTTTCCCGTGGAAAGCACTGGGTCTGGCTTTGACTCAGAAACCCTCTGTCTTTCCCCAACCCCCTCTGGAATCTATCAGATTGGGGGAGCTGAAGAAATTGAATCAATGCCCAGCTCAATCTTTTTTTTTTTTTTTTTTTTTTTAACCTGACTAGCACATTCCCTGCATGAGCTGACTGTCACATGTTGGGCAGATTCTCTCCATTTCATTACTTACTGTTCTCTTAGAGAATAAAAGTCTGACTTGGACAGTCAAGCTTCCACAAGCTACTTAGGAAGGAAAGCGACCCCTAAAGCTAGATGGTTGGGAAGACCTTCTTTTCTGGGGGTGGGGGATGGAGGCATTGACTAGCAAATTAGAAGAACTAAGATTTAATTTCAGTTTTTGTTGCTAATAAGCAGTGTGACTTTGGATCAAACAGCCTCTATGGTTTCAGTTTCCTTTTCTATAAATGAGCATGGGGTGCTGCAGACCAGGGGTCCTCTCCCTTCGGTGTGCATTAGAATCACCCGGGGTTGTTAAATCAGAGGTTGCTGGGCCCCACCCTAGAATTTGATTCAATAGGTCTCAGGTGGGACCCCAAATTTACATTTCCAGCAAGTTCCCAGGTGATTCTGCTGCTCTGGGGACCCCCACTGTGAGAACTACCCATTTGACTGGTCCCTAAATCCTTGTTAATCAATATATTATCCTCAGACCAACACCATCAACATCATCCAGAAGTTTTTTAGAAACATAAAATCTGGGGCCCTACTCAGTCCTACCGAGTTAGAATCTGCATGAAAACAAGATTCCCAGGTGATTCTTTTGCACATTGAAATTTGAGAAACATGGCTGTAAATCCAGTTTATCTTTTTGTAGCAAAGATATTCTCTTTTTCCCTTTCTACACACATATGTACCCACCCACCCACCTATATATAGACACAGAGAAAAATTTATCTCCTCTTAATTTGCAAGGCAGATTGTGGTTTTCCTAATGCTTTCACTCTACATATGTGTATATGTAATCACTTAGCTAGAGATTATAGCTTGATTTATGCATTATTATACATCGGATCATAAAAACAGGATCAGGGTGTTACTGATCAAGGAAACCTTAGAGATCCAGTCGAGCATCTACGAAGAAGGTGAGAAGATAGAAGATTGAAGAGATATACTCGATGAAGTATAATTTCGGTTCTTACAACATACAAAGTTGTTGACACCCAAATGCCTTGAGAGGGACATCCCAAACTTTCTGTTGTGCATTTTAGGAGTTAAAATATGAATGACTTTAGGCTGTGGACATAACAGAAATAACCTAAAGCAGCAATTAAAGGCAAAATACCATCACAGACTCCAGAGGGCTAGGCGCAGATTCCTGTTGAACTACTTGGGGTAGGGGCCATTTTCAAAAAATAGTGCTGAAGTTAAGTCTATAATGTTTCCAGTTTTCAAAGCAAATTTGTCCCTAAATTCTTTTTAGATATTGTTCAAATAGCCTTAAGTCATTCACATTTACAGTGGTGAGATCTTAAGCTGGCAGTTTATAAAGAGCCTATATAATTACAAACACGGCCTGTAAAATAAATAAGGTAAGCTTCTGTTTGTCCATGAGTCATGCCTACACTAGCTTTCGTTCCCCCAGAACATAATGATTTTCATCTCTGGAACCCAGCAGGGCTTCCTGGGGAGCAAGATGGCAAGTGGAAAGCATCTCTGCCCGCCCAAGGTATTTTTCAGGCGGGTGTTCTGTGTTGCTCTGTAGGTGGGGCCCGAGAGCAGGTGCACTCAGCGCAGGGGCGGCCCGCACCGAGAATGGGAGGAGGCGAGGGAGGAGGCGAGGGAGGAGGCGAGGGAGGAGGCGAGGGAGGAGGGCGGGAAGCGGACGGCCCCCGCCATAGCACCTGCGCTCCCCCGGCGCGATAGAGGACGCCGGGGAGGAGCGTGAGGTTGTTGGAAAAGACAAGCCAGGTCTCCTGCCTTGCGGCGTCTGGTCTAAGCGCGTCACTGAGTCCCAAAGGGAGGTTCCAGGGACTTGAACCAGGGCGCACGTACCGGGTCTGGCCGGGGCCTTGGCAAGGTGGGGTCCCTGCGGCCGCGCGCTGTGGAGCCGGCCCGACCTACGGCCCTCGCCGTCGCGGCGGTCGCTGCGGTGCGGCAGCAGCTCCAGGGGCCGTGGCGTGTAGAGGTCCGACTCGATCACCACCTGCCGGGAGGAGGAAGGACAGTCAGCTTGTTCCTCTCCTCGGATCTTTAGATGCACCTCGGGCCGATAGGGCATTGCTGGAGTTTTCCTGACGCCAGAGAATGCTAGCAGCAGTGAGACAACTTGGGTTAATTGGCCTCCGACAGTCAACCGCTTTTACTGAATTTCAGCAGGCCGAATGGTGCCATGGTGCAGGAAGATGAGGGTCCCCGGGGTTCCTCACCAGCACCCCCTTCACAGAGTCAGGAGCCTGGCTGGGTCTTTGGGCCAGACCTGTCACCCACCCTGGGGCCTTACATGGTTTGGCAACAGAACAGGCTGTTTGGAATGATGACAGTTTTGGAAATCAGGGTCATAACAGTCTTTGTAAGAAGCAGACACCCTTGTTCAAACAGAGGACAGTTTTTTGAATGCTCTAGCAGAGGGAAGAGCTAGGGACAGGACTTGGGGCCCAACCAAGTCCCAGGTTTTAAAAAGAAGAAAGCTGCTGGCACAGTTCCACATGCTTACACTTCCTTCACCTTGCAGAACGCCTGGGTGAGGTGGAGCTGGGAGATGAATTTCCACTACACATGGTTTCCTAAGTGGAAATTCCCCAAAACCAATCAGAATGCTAAGACCTAAGGTGTTTTCAGTAATGACCACCTGCTGAATAGTTATCTGGGGAAGTAGAGTAAGAGGAAATACCCCTTTTGTCAGGACCCAATGAAATGGGCCTTAAAAGTTATAATAAACATACTCAAATCGTTGAAATAATTTAAATGTAAAAAACTTGAGACAAATAAAGCCGTATTTTATCTTAATACTGGGAGTGATGAAGGGTATTTTAGTGGGTTTTGGCTCCTATCCTGCATATTTTTATACATATCCAGGACATTGGGGTCATCCATTCTGAATTTCTTCACTCCTTTAAATCTGGTTAGAATGTTCAATAGTGCACAGCAGCTGCTCTGGGATCTACACTGACTCATTCGTTTGCTCCTTCATCAGATGCCCTGTGAAGGCACGTTCCGTACCAGGTCCTGGGCACTGGGCACATCTGCAAGTTAGGTGGACCCCTCCGAGCCTTGGACAGATCCCCCTCACTTGTCCACATAGAACAGTGGTGTTGCTTTTGGAGGATGCTGAAGCAAATAAAACTAAATTTTTAAAAGTTATAATAGGGTGATATTTCGATTTAGCGGAGAAAAATTGGATCTTTAATACTGTTACAATAAATGGCAGGTCACTGGGGGAAATGGATCTGTGTTCACATGTGTTACACCAAAATAAATACCAGACAGATCCAAGATACATGTTGAAAACAAAACACACAAGAATTGAACGTGGCTCAATATAACATTTGTTACACATGAAGGGGAATGATCCCTATGTACACAGAACACCTAAAAATCAATAAAGAAGAAGAAAACAAGAGAAAAAGGGAGCAAAAACCAGAAGCTGGCCATTGACAATAGAAACACAACTGGTAAACGTAACACCACAAACATGAAAAGATGTTGAACAGTCATTAAGTGAAAGTGAAAACAAAGTTGTTTTTTTCGCCTCTCAGATTGTCCGTGATGAAGAAGGTAACTCCATTTGTGGTCACGCCCCAGCCTTGACAATTAGTGGTTCCGTGGAAAGGAGATATTCTTGCATGTCCTTGCTCTATTGGGGCGAAGTAAATGCCTATCATCTGTAGAGGTTTTGGTAATAGAGCGTGCTCTCTATCTTCAAGCCACATATTTATCTACAGAATCAGAGAGCAGTTCATGTCTCCTGAAGAGAAAACTAGAAGCTGTCACTCTTCCCTTCAGTTTACCACAAAGAGTCCTTTGCTCAGAAAACTAATATATACCTAATTTGGCCTTATCTGGGTTAGGAAATTAACTCCTCTCAAGCCCATTTTAGGGCCCAGAACCATTCATCCTGTGGCTTTGGGGAAAGCTGATCACTCAGAAACATGGAGGATTAGTACCTTTTCTTCTCTGGGCACTGCAGGAGGTGGTCCCTTCCCAATAATTTAAAATATGTTCCTTTTTCCTCCCAGCTATATCATATGTCCACTGGCAAATGATTTGGTAAGGTGTACAATGGGTTGATTTGATCCATTTATAAGCTGTGGTATGTTTAGAAGATGGTGGTTCCGTTAGGCTGGGGGCAGCCCTGGGCCCACCCTGTACCAGCTCAGTGGGTGGTCCAGTATTGACTGTCCAGTCTCCTCTGCTCTCCTCTTTACCTACCTCCCTTCCCCTTGGCCCCTTGCTCTGCCATGGTGTTGCCCAGAATACTGGAATTTCCTATATCAATGTGGTTCAGAGCCATGTACGTTCCCTTGGACGTGTAATATTTGGCCTAAGGGCTCTCCCCTGGAATGTGACCCTCCAGGTTGAATAAGAGACTCCTGAGCCTCATTACTGACACAGCTGTCACAGATGTTTCTGATTTTATTTTCACTCTGTCAGGATTCTTCTTAGTAAGAAGGAGTGAGACTGGTATGTTTTCAGACCTACTTTGTACAAGGAGAAAGCAAAGCAGGTAAAGAAAGCCTGTGGAGTCCATGAGGGAAACCCAGCATTTCCTCCTCTGAAAGGGAAGCAAATGTTCCCTTTCAGGAACAAGAAACTCCACCTCTGCAAGCAATCGCTTCTCTGCACTATGGTGCGGCAGAAGAGAACGGGGAGGGAGGGAGCCCAGAGGTTAGCTGTTCAACCCTCTGCTGGAGGTAGGAGCTCCCAGGGGACAGGGATGAGGTTGGTTACTTTCCAAGTCATGACTTAGGGCCAGGTGCCTCTTCTGGGTGTCTTCTCCAGGCCCCAAAGGATGCCAATAACGGATGCCAATAACATGAAAGGAAAGAGGAGAGGTGCCCAGTTCAGAAGAGTGCCCTTTCTTAGCTGGTCTTGTACTTGGTTCTCATTTCCCACAGTAACAGAGGCTCTGAGAGGGCTCCGGGGGAGCACATTTGGCTCTCACCAGGAAATGGGCAGCTGCATAGATGGCTGTGGCCTCCTGAAAACCTGGGTTATTTTCTGGTCTCTAGGACATGGTTTGGGGTGGCTACTGCTGGTCTTAGAACAAACTGGTCTGAGAGCAGGCTCTTTAGTGTCCCCCCTCTCCCCGCACTCCCGGTACAGGGGTAAGACTGGGGAATGGGGAGAAGGAAGGTAGAGGCAGGTTTAGTGTTGGATTTGCCTTTCCTTTCCTAGTCAGCAAACTGCCTTCTGAAAGTAGGGGGGGATGTACTAGAGTAATACACTGATGTTCCCCTGCTGGTCTTGGGTCAGAGATTAGAAGAACAGAAGTCATGGGCTAACACTCAAGCCTCAGGATTCCACCCACTGACATCTTCAAGTCTCACTTCTGTTTGTTCACCAGCCTAGGGGGCTGGTAGGGGGCTGGAAAGACAGGTGAGACCTAGGTGATGGAGAATCATCATGATTTAGGGCTGATGGGATCCATAGCAATGTTCTAGCCCAACTCCCTAATTTTGCACATAGAGAAACTGAGTCCAAGAGAGATCATGTGTCTTCAGGGTCACAGAGTTATAAGGGGCAGAGCCAGGATGAGAGTTGTGGTTTTATGACTTCTGGGTGAGCGCTCTTTATAAGACCCAGAGAAGTGCCTACATCCAGATAAGAAATTTCAAGTGCAATCAATCACTCAGGACATTTTGAAAAATCAGTAAATTTGCAGGCCAAGTTCTCTCTGATAAGGTTGAGCTCTGGGGAGAATGTGACATTTACAATCTAATTTTTCCATCTTTCCTGGTAGTGGTACCACTGCTCATTGTGACGAGGGTGGGGAATCAGTGGCCCCTGGGGGGTCCTGACTCTCTATCTTAGTGATGCTGGGGCACTAAGATGGTTTAGAGAGAGGAGATCTTTGTAAAGGAGGGAACCTGACTCCACATGGTAGCCCAAGGACAACAGACACAAATAAGAATTTCAGGACAAAGAAAATTCAAAACCTTGGTAGATTTAAGCAGTTACAAAATGTGAATGTTTTCCTTGGGAGCTCAAAGGCAGCCAAGAGCCAGTCGGATGAGGAAACAAATAATCAGAGATAGTTCTTTCTTTAGGACTCACTTCCTTCATCTTAGGTAGACTAAGACCTTTCTTGTCTTTTCTAATTTGAATGTTCTGTACAGCTGACATTGAGGTTTGCAAACAAAGGATGAGTCAGGATGTTAGGGGAAATGAGAAATTTAGAGGTGAGCTCAAAAACCACAGGGCATTATTAAGTTGTCTCACCTGGAGGAAGACTGCATAGTTGAAGACAAGATCCAGCTTCTAATTTTTTTTTAAATCAAAAGCAAATTTTAATATGTATTCATATACTTGAGTCATTTTTTTTTCTCTGAGTAAAACTATTTTGGAGAGGGAAAGTCATAAACCATAAACATAACTGTCTTTCTCAAAAATTTCCACTCCCAGGAAACCTGAGAGCTTGGTTCTGCAGGGCTGGCTGAAGTCAAGTGGCTTTCCAGAAAGCTGTCTCCACTGAGAGTTGTCTTCTTTATTAAGGTTTGAAACCTCCTGAGGATTTCCTCCCTAGAACCTATTAATTATTAGTAAGTGTGGTGATTTAGTTTCCATTTTAAAAGCTTTTGTAAACACTGCTCTGTCCTTACAAAGCCAGCAGATACAGGTATTAGGAGTGATTCAGACAGTAACATTGTTTAAGGTTAGAAATTCAAGGAAAGAACGTGGTGGGGAACTAAATATTCCCAATTCCCAAGGGATCTTTCCAGAGTCATGAATGACTTGTGGTTCCTTCAAATCCAGAGTAATGCCAAACTCAAGCCCCTTGACCAAAAAGTCTTTTGTGAAACTTCCCTTAAACTGAAAATGACCTACAAACAACCCCTTCCCTTTACACTTTTTAAAAGATTTATTTATTTATTTTAGAGCCCAAGTGTGAATGGAGGGAGGGACAAAAGGGAGAGGGAGAGAATGAGACTCCTCAAGCAGCCTCCCCACTGAGCACAGAGCCTGAGGCGGGCCTCAGTCCCACAAACCCAAGATAATGATCTGAACCGAAATCAAGAGTTGCCTGCTGAAGGGACTGAGTCACCCAGGTGCCCCTCCCTTTCTATTTTTGGTAACACCCACTCCTTGAAAATCAGGAGCATATTTCTTTTAGATTGTGGGCTTGAGTTTTCAGGGATGAGGAGAAAGGTAAGAATCTCTTGCCCTACCACAAAGAAATTTTCCATCCATTCAAAGTCCTTTTCTTTCCTCCTTTTTTTTTTTTTTTTTGGTATGTTTTTAAGTAGACTTCATGCCTAGCACAGAGCCCAAGGCAGCGGCTAAACTCATGATCCTTAGATCAAGCCCTGAGCTGAAATCAAGAGTCGGATGTTTAACTAACTGCACCACCCAGACACTCCCCTTGTCTTCCTTAATATAAAATATTCCCCAAAGTCATTAAAAAATACATACGACAACAGAAAAATGTGCAAAAGACATGAATTAGGAACATATAGAGAAAAAAAATCAAAATCCCTGAAAAGATGAAGAATGATATTAATAATTAAATAAATGCAAATTAAAACGAGATACCTTCACCTATCAGATTGTCAAAGACTAACAACATTGATGACATACAGTATTGACTTAGGTGTTTTGGTAAAGGTACTTTAAAACACAGTTGCTAAGAATTTGACAATGGCTATAAATTTTTTTCAATGTTCATATCCTTTGAGCATTTGAGCATTTTCTTTTTTTAATTACGATATAATTGACATATAACATTAAGGACTACAATGTGTTGATTTCATGACCAAGCATTTTCATATCTGTGACTTCATCCTCAAAAACATTTGCATAAGAGCATGAAAAATATGTTCAAGGATATTGCTTGTGGCATTGTTTAGTAGAATTTGGTTAAATATTCTAGAAAACTTCAGATGTGATTTGGGAAGAAAATTATAGTACATTCATATAATAGCATGATATGCAGCCTTTATAAAGAATGGGGTAGATCTATAAGAATTAACTGACATGTAAAAAGATTCAAGATTTATAGATTAGTGAAAAAAGCAAATTGCAAAATGGTATGTTATCGAGCAATGGAACATAATAATGATATGTTGGTATATGGGAAATTTTCACTTAAAAAGCACCAACATTCATTGAATACTGGGTGTGTGTCAGGCTCTGGACTAAGCACTTTACATGTATTAAATCATTTGTTCTCCAGTGGTTCTTGAGATATGTGCTCCTATTATTCCCATTTGAATACTAAAGAAGTTGAATCCCAGTATGGTGGGCAACTTGTTCAAGGTTACCTAGCTAGAAATGGATAGAACTGGAATTTATGTCTAGGCAGTTGGACTCTAAGTCTACATACCTGCCTGTTATGTCCCACAGCTTCTTAGAATTTTCTGTTATTATATTTTTTATGTTCATAGTATTTGAAATTCTATAATAGGCACACACTACTTTGGGAATTTAAAAAAGTAATGTTTGTAAAAATAACAATGACTAGGGGCGCCTGGGTGGCTCAGTGGGTTAAAGCCTCTACCTTCGGCTCCGCTCATGTTCCCAGGGTCCTGGGATCAAGCCCTGCATCGGGCTCTCTGCTTAGCAGGGAGCCTGCTTCCTCCTCTCTCTCTCCACCTGCCTCTCTTGCCTACTTGTGATCTCTGTCTTCAAATAAATAAACAAAATCTTAAAAAAAAAAATGAAAATGACTAAAACTCCATCTCACTCCCAGGACACTGAAAAAAAAAATTCATTTTAATGGAGAATGGGCCTTCAAAAATTGACATACTTAGAAAATCAAAATGGTGTTCCTTGAAAAATTGTGATAGAAATAGAAACTCCAGCATAACCAAGAGGAAACAATCAGCAGTAAACCTTTCCAGAGAAAGTACAAAGATGGATTGACAGCTTTTGTATAAAGAAATCTGTAAGTAAAACGAGAAATTCACAGCATCCTTTGGCTCCAATGACATGTAAACTAATTTTAAGGTAATGCAAGTGCTTATTAGAGTAGCAAAAGATAATGTAGAAAAATGAAAGTCAGTGAGGCTGGAGGTAAATGGAAAAACATTGCTGGAAGCCTGGCAACTGTTTAGAATTCCTGGTAATATGTGACAAAGCTGTAAAAGCAGAAACCATTTTTAAAAAAATCACTATTCTCCACATCTAGCATAGTGTCTCTTATGTAGTAGGAATGAAACTATTGGATGGATGAATGGATCAATGGATAGATGAAACTATTCTTAACCTTACTTGTTAATTTACCATGGAATTAATTCAAAAGAATAGTATTTTGTTCAAATTAATTGCAATGCTATTTATAATAGTGAAAAAATAGAACATCACAAATGCCAGCAACAGGAGAACACCTAAGTCAGGAATGCTATACTCATCGTGGACTCTGTTTAAATAAGAACAATTTTTTTAGAGAATGAGATTTACTCTATGCGTCTAGGGAAAATGTCAGAATAGGGGAGTCCGATTCAGGGCTTTTTGCTGTCTGGTAGACATTTGTCAATTATTTTGGTGAAATGGAAGACAGGAAATTGAGCAGCAGCCACATGTCACAGAGAAAAACTTCCTCACTATTGAGAGCAGGGGAGAGGAAGTGAAGAAGTTAGATGCTGCTTTTGTAATGGAAACCAATAAAAGCGATCAAAATTGAAGTTGTCCTTACATTCTTGGTCAAGAGGTGTTGAGAGCTTTTGACTCTTCTTCTGGCTGGACTGGACACTGCAAAGAGAGAGATAGGAAAGGTTTTAGAGAACACAGGTTGAGGCTGATGTAGCCTCAGAGTGGGTTTGCCCCTGGAGTGGGGAAGGGTGCAGAGGAGGGGAGGTGGGGAGAATAATCAGGGTGTAATTACAATTTTAGATGTTGCTTGGCTGAGTGCACCAAAGTTCATAGCAGCATTATGCACAACAGCTAAAAGGTGGAGACAACCCAAATGTCCAACTAAAAGATGAGTGGGTAAACAGAATGTGCTATATGCATACAATGGAATATCATTCACCCTTAAAAAGAAATTAAATTCTGATACATGTGGTAACATGGATGAACATTGAAAACATTAAGCTAAGTGAAATAAGCTGGACACAAAAGGACAAATATTGTATGGGTCCTTTATATGAGATACCTAGAATATTAAACTCAGAGACAGAAAGTAGGTTACAAAGGGGTTAGGGGAAGAAGGGAATGGGGAGTTGTTATTTAACAGGCATAGAGATTTGGTTAGGGATGATGAAAGTTCTGGAAATGGATAGTGGTGATATCTGCACAACAATGTGAATGGACCTCATGCCACAGAGCTATGCACTTAAAAATGCTTAAAGGGTAAATTTTATATCATGTATGTTTTGCTACAGTAGAAAGGTTAAAAAAATCAGTTAAGCATTAAAAAAATGTTAGTTGGTTGGAAGAAGGCACGTGTTTTGTTGAAAATGGAGATACTCTGGCATCTCTCTTCCATCCTGCTGCTGGAATGATTTACTTAGAACTGCAATCCCACCATGTCACTGCCTAGAACTGAGACTACTCCTTGTCACATATCAGATAAGTGACCAGATGAGGGCTGGGTCGTGGTATTTTCTTCAGAGCACCTATAGCCATGAAACCTGGCATACAGTGTGCTAGTTAATAGCCAAGGTTCCCAACTCCTTTCACTTGAGTGTGGACCAGAACTAGACCACTTGCCACTTATGTGACTTGGGCAAATTACCCATCCTCTCCACACCTTCCTCTCCTCATCTGTAAGACAGCGGGAATAAACAGCACCCACCTCCGAGAGCTGTGGCAAGGATGAAATGAACTAATTTTTATAAAGCCCCTGGACCAGTGCCTGACAAGGAGTAATTTCCCAGGAATCAGTGGTGGTTATTATGACTGTCCTCCATCTCTGCAAGCTGAAGGCAGGTGGAAAGAGTAGCTGATAACTTTTAGATCCTATAACATTCCATTAGGATTTCTCTTTCCGGAGTTTTCTCCATTTCCTCCTGCTATTCTCCGATTCGTCTCCACAACCTCTCCCCATTGCTGTTTCTCCTCAAGAGAATTATTTTGAACGCTGTGGTGACATTCACCCTAGAATTAAACCCCCTCTAGTGTGTCTCAGGAAATAACTTCTGGTATAACTTCTTGGTAAAACCGCAGTTTTATCTTTCGTGTTTACTGTGAATTTTGTCTATGAAATTTTCCCTTAAAGGGCTCTCTTTTTCTCCAGAAAGTAAAAAATCCACACTTGTCCTGTTATAGACTTGATATTTATGTCCCATGCCTTTAAGAAACGCTCTAACACTTGCTGCTGCCATAGTTTTGTGGGACATTAAGATGGCTCAGCTAAAAAAATACATAGAAATATTAACTTGAACCCAATATGTGTATGTATGTTTGTGTTGGAAAGAAAGATATAATACAAGAGAAGGGTAGTAATAGCTCACATTGAGCCTTACCAGGTGATGGTTTATTTGCCTTATCTCATTTACTGCTTGTAACAACTCTGTGAACCAGGTACTCTGCATTATCTCTATTTTATTGGTGGGGATACTGAAGTTAGGGGTCCCACAGTTCACAGGAACTTAACCATTGTCCACACTGCCTCTTAACCTCTTAACCATTGGCTACACTGCCCACACTGCTGAACCTGTGCTCAGAAAATGTCTTGGCCATTTTGGTCACCCTAAATGGTAGCATTGGGAAAAGGGCATCCCCGGGAGAACTATTAAGATAGTTAGATAAAATTAAGCCACCTTCTATTTCTGTAGGTAAGGAATGTGGGGATGTGCGGAAGAGTTACCAATCTCTCTTATAAGCGGTGACTTAAGAAGGGCTAGCACTGCCCTTCTCTCACTGAAGCCCTCTGCTCTATAGCTTTGGAGAAAGCAAGATGAGGCAAAAAAGGAAGTAGGAAGAAGTGAATTTCTTCCATTCATGGTCTAAGGTAAGACTGCAAATACTCCTTTCCTAGAGAACGACTTCCTGAGCAGTGAAATGTCCATGAATACCAATGAGTACTTGGTTTATGACCAGGAGATGGCCATGAATGAAAATGGAATACAGGATTAAATATTTATCTTTGACTGGACATAGTCCTTGTTCTAAATATGGAATAAAAATAGAAATCATTTTGTAAGGGATTTATTTCATACTAAATGCTTTATAGGTTTTATCTATATTTTAATCCCCATCCCGCCCCCCACCGTAATAACCCTGGGAGGTAAATTCTAGCTCTCCCTTTTATAAAAGTGCAAACTCGGGCCCAAAGAGATGAAGTAGCTTGCCCAAGGTCACACAGTGCAGAAGTGACCCGCAGTTCCTTGACCACTGTGCTAAGCATATGGAGTCAAAGGCCCTGTTTCAAATGCTTTTAGTCAGGTGAAGTGTGACGTTGCTCCTGAATTGTTGAATAACTTTTTAATTAAAAAGGGCTATTTGGCTTTGATTTTTTTCTTTAAAAAATGTTAAATGGAAAAATATGACAGGAAATAGACATGTTTTAACATTTTCATATTTGCTTCCAATTTGTTTTTGTCTCATGTAAAGAAATACAAAATTGGGCAAGTTGAGGTTCCCTTCCTACTCTCCCCTAACTCTACTGCTGTCTCTCCCCAGGGCTACCAAGATCACTAATTTAGTCTGCATCTTTCCAGCCTATGTTTTCATACTCTCTGTCTCTGAATATGTATCCATAAGTTGTTTTGTACTGCCAGATATAGTAATTGTTATCATACATATAAAATTTGCAGCCAGCCTTTTTTTCCCTCCACTCAACATTATGCTTTTGAGATCTGTGTCCATACACATAGATCTAGTTCATTCCTGTTGACAACTGTGGAATATTCCATAGTATAATGACACCACATTTTACCCACTCCCCTCCTCAAGGACATTGAAGCTGTTTTTAATTTTGCTCTCCTAGAATCAGTGCCACTGTGAACATCCATGAGTCAGAGTATCCAGAAATGGACCTGCTGGGTCCGAGGGTTAGCTTTGACTTTACAGGTACTTTTCAGAATCTCCAGACAGAGTTCCAACTCCTGCACTTGGGCAGACTCCTCGCTCTTGTTTTTCCTCTCTCTATGTGGCAATACATGTCAAAAGCTTTATTTATGTTCTGCTGGCTGTCTCTTTGTGACCAGGCTGAGTATCTCTCTTCCCCTCCCCCTCCCCCTAGCAGTGACCCTGTCAGTGGCTGACACGGAAAGAAGAAAGGGATTGTTTGAGCAGGGGGCACAACACCAGCAAACATCCAGCCCCCTTCATTCAAGTCTGACAATGAGACCAGGGCTAAGCCAGAGTCCCAGCCTCTCCCAGCAAGGCAGGGGCCGTGGGGAGAGAACAGAGGGAGCAGAAGAGAGGGCTGAGCTTTAGAGGGGGTGTGAGGGAACTGTCCAGTAACCAGACACCTGCTGGCTGCTGAGCTCGCACACAAAGGCCTCCCTGGGACTTGACACCATTCACCCCAGCACAGGAGCTGACAGAGTCACACGTTGTGGCAGCGCTAGTTCCAGGTGAAGTTTGGGAGGGGGCCCTCGGATCTTCTTTAGAGGCCAGCCCCGGGGCCGGACGTTATTTGACCACTTTATTAGACTTCAGGCCCCTGCCGGGAGTCTATTTCCTCACATTTATTGACTTGGTTAGAAATCATACTTTTGAGCCAGCTGGTTCTCATTTCAGAGCCCACTTGCTCATTGGAGAAGAAGAAAGAATCTCTCTAGCTGCTCTGGGAATGTTGTTTTCATCTCTGTTTCCCAAAACAATGGCTTGCTGTCACTTTCATTTGGCATATTGGGTTACCAGTACTGAATTAAGTGGAATGGGGAGCATTTTAACTGCCTTCATTCCTCCCCACCCCCTTTGAGGGATTGTTTCTCAATGACTGATGTTTATCCATGTACGTCCTTTTCAGAAACAACAACAATAACAAATACCATCACAACAGCGAACCCGTGAACCCCTCGGAGAGACCTGAGGATAAGCCATAGTAAAACAGCACGTGATTGTCCTTAACCTCCGGCAGAAGGTGCCGCGTTAAGGAAACCGTCAAGGGCGATTTTACTCACCCTTGGAAGGGATCACGGTGGTGAAAACTTCTATATTTTCATCACTGCAGCTGTAAATCTGATGCATCGTCTCAGCCTTCTCTCCCCCAAAGTGCCGGGAACCGGAAGCCTCTCTCCGAACCCCTAGTCGCGAGGTTTCCTAATCCAGTCTGGCTCGGGGATCATTGTGCAGGTCCACAAAAGACAGGCTGGTGCTGTGATCTCATCTCATTCCAGAGTCTTCACTGCAACATTTTCTAATCCCATCTGTCTTTTTTTTTTTTTTTTTTTTTTTATGAATCCTATTATTGTAAACCTTTGATTGAGCGTGGAGGCTTCAGTCCCCTCCCAGCCAGGATGTAGTTAACATTTTTATTTTGCCGTGTCTGCTGCACTGATTTTGGAAGTCTTTTGTGAAGTAAGGATGAAGTGAAACCGCCCTCTCGGTTAGCGCCCAGCTTGGCTGGAGAATTCCACTGAAAAGGAGACGTGAATTTTGGTACCAGCAATTACCCTTTTCATTTCAGAAATGAAGGGAGCTTTTTAACCCCCCACTCCAGAAGAACTGGATATTCAGTAATCTGTCGTGTGTTACTTTGGCTTCCTTCTAAGTTTCTATTTTAAACAAAAGGACTGTTTGTCCAGAGCGGTTTTGCCTCATGCCGGTACACGACAAGGCTGACATCTCTCGAGGGCGGTCTATTTAGCATCTCCTTGTACAGCCCTTCAGGTGCTCGTAGAGACATGGTAACGAGTGGTGCCCTCACACCCAAGGTAGCACAGGAAGATTAGATTTATAAGATTTTATTTTTCTTACCCTAAATATCCTAATACATATTATCCTATATATTCTATTATCCTGTATTTATGTAGAACAATATATATCCTATATTTTATCTTAAATTCTATATATACACACAGAAATAAGGTATGTCTGAAATGTTTGTTTTATGTCAAACCCACCATCTTTCATTACACCATGACAGATTTATTTCTTCATATTGATAATGATGATGTAATCATATTAATAATGACAGTTGGCATTTATTAAACACTTGCTAAGAGCTAGGCAGTGTGATATATAATCTTATTTAATGTCTACAACCACCCAACAAGACTAGTCATTATTTTTGCTGTTTTATAAGGTGAGGAAACTGAGGCATGAAAAGACTGAGTAATTTGCCCAAGATTAAAATATGGAATGTGTGGCAGAATCGGGTTTAATCCCTAATTTGACTCCAAAATCAATGTACTTAATCATTAAATTACATTCCATTCTTTACCTCCAAAGCCTTGTCCCCTATTTTGAACTTAGGGGTTTAAAGACCTATTAGACTTGGACTTGGTGTCCACTGCTGTTTCTATAGTAGACAAATTTGGGGCATATACTTATCAGTTAGTTGTCAATATTACACTCATATCTCAGAATTTCCCCTAGCCACAGAGGATGGCTCTGGGAAGCCATGTTTATTCTATCTGAATTTGTCCCCTGGACCATATTTGACTGGACCAAGGTAGACATGTAACCCAGACTGCTGCCTCCTGGGAACAGAAATTGGGCCTTAGGCTGGGGCCAAAGGAAAGGTAGAAACTCTCAATACCTAGGTGGTTCTCAGGGTCAATAGGGATGAAATTGAGGGGAAGCCTGTGGAAATAAATAGAACCAATGATCTGTACAGGGCCTGAGGCCTGAATGCAAATCCAGGGTAAAGAGTTTTAGCTGGGGGAGGAGAGCAAGTACTTTCACTTTGACCCATACTTGGTGGGTCTGTGGTTACCTGTACAGGTGGGTGAGAGACAGTGCAAAGGATAGGGGGTTGGGGGTAAACAAGTATTGGAAGAGAGAGGGGTGGGTGTGGAGAATTGAGAAAGAGCATAAAGAGGCAGAGATAAGGGAGGGACAGAAAAATAATCCAATTTAATTGTTTCCAATGAGATATTTAGGTCTTTATCTGGTAAGTGTCCTTTTTGTTTAAGTAGGTTTTGGTCATTGTCAGATAAAAAGAGTACTGTCTGAAGACATGTCTATACATTTTATAACCTCTAAGTGATTACATTTTTAAATAATAGAAAATTTAGGGGAATATCCAAATAGAAAGCAAGATCCAAAATTATGTTAAAAGACTAAAATTATGTTAACAGACTGTAGGTAATAAAATATACATGGAATTTAATAAAACCAAGTGTAAACATTTACCTTTACATTAAAAAATTATAGACTACAGAATTGGGGTGACCTTATACCAGCATTTTATTAAAAAGAAACATGAAGTTTTGGTTAACCACATGCTTAATAAGAAGTAACAATAGTAAAGAGTAGGCGCTAGAAGACACAAATGTAGTTTCAAGGACCTGATACTAAATTATAATTAAGAAACTTCAGGGCGCCTGGGTGGCTCAGTGGGTTAGCCTCTGCCTTCAGCTCAGGTCGTGATCTCAGGGTCCTGGGATCGAGTCCCACATCAGGCTCTCTTCTCAGCAGGGAGACTGCTTCCCCCACCACCCCCCTGCTCTCCGCCTGCCTCTTTGCCTGCTTGTGATCTCTCTGTCAAATAAACAAAAAAAATTAAGAACCTTCTAGGGTACTCAGAAGCCAATCAGGGTCACCTGAATTTAATCTTAAGGAATCCAGGCTGGATTAGGTTTTTTCTAAGAAAGTCCAAACTTTGTCAATTAGAGTATATTGTATTACATCTAATGAATAAACCTGAAACACAGAACTAAAGGAGCTAATGTAATGAAACACAATCAGAGAAAAACAGTTCTTAAGAAGTAATTTTTACCTGTTGCAAGTATTTTTGAAGTGATAAAAATACATGCTTATTAACACATCAAAAAATTAAAGATGGGTATACAGAAAAAGTGAAATCTACTTCCCCTATTCTAGCTTCACTTCCTAAAAGCAATCATTGTTTACAGATTGGTGGTACATTTCCAGATTTGTTTGTCCTTATTTATACATTTATAAGTATATATATATATACTTTAAAAAATAGAAATGGAATCATACTACATATACACAGAGATATGCATGTATGCATTCGTGTGTAAACATTTATAGTTCCCATATTTAAAATAAATGTGCAGAAGACTACTGCACATTTAACTACTCCTTTTTAAAAGAAGATTTTATTTATTTATTTGAGAAAGAGAGAGAGTGAGCATGAGGAGGGTGAGGGACAGAGGGAGATGCAGAATCCTCACTGAGCAGGAGTTAAGCCTGCCTTAGGGCTTGATCCCAGGAGTCTGGGATCATGACCCCAGCCCAAGGCAGATACTTAGCAGCTTGAGCCACCCAGGAGCCCCTATCTACTCCTTTCTTGATAGACCTATAGCTTATTTCCATTTTAAAAAGTTATGAACAGCTCTGCAGAGAACATTCAAATATATATATCTTTATACATGTCTTCTAACTTTTTTGTAGGCTATGTTTCTAATTGTGAGAGTGTGGGTCATTAGCATATTAGTGTTTAACATTTTGAGGGCTTTTCCACATCGCCTTGCAAAATTCTGCATCTGTTGACACTTTCACTAATAGGATATGAGGGGCGTATTCCCCACACCTTAGGCAATACATGTTATTACTAATTTTTTTGGTCACAGTTATACTGTTTGGCTTTTGGGCTCTGAGCCAAGTATCTTGATCACATTTGATAGTTACAGGGCTCCTTGCCCAGATACCTTACAGTCCATGAAGGGGTGTATGGCCGAGACCTTGTTTTGGAATATAAACTCTATCACCTGTATGCAACAGTGAGTACACACCACGCCTGTGAGTCCTGGTGGCAACTCCTGCCAGGGTCAGCCAAAGCCTAAGTCAGGTAGAGTCTGTCTTGGCCTGGGTTCCTCTTCTCTCAGGTTCTGGAAGTCAGTGATGAGGATTCTACACTGTTGGCACGGAGATGCCCACTTACTTGCAATTTTAAAATTTTGTTTCTACCCTGTCTCAAAGAGCAGGCAATTAATGTCAATGGAAGACTTTACTTATTTATTGCAGGCTTGGCTACCTATCTGCCTGGCTACTGGGGAGGGCTGAGTGGTGCTAGCTGTGTGTCTCCAACCTGAGTTCTGGAGAAAGACCATCACAAACATGCTAGGAGGAGGCCTCTTAGAAAAAATTTCATTTCAGTTGAATCCTAAGCAATGTTTCTCGGTCTTTAATGTGATAGGAATTAGTGCTTTGTTAAAATGCAGATTCTGATTTCACAGGTCTGAGGTGGGCCCTGAGAGACTGAGATTCTAAGGGGCTCCTATGAAATTTCTGATTGTTGGTGCCAGGGCACACTTTGGAATTAGAGCAAAAAGTTCATTTTAGGAAAGCAGATGTTCCTGACCCAGAGGCACTAGCAATAGGAGGAGCTCAGGTCCCTCACTAGAGGGTTTAAATATGATTCTCCAGGGCCAAGGCATAGATATTTAAAAACACCCCTCCGATGAGGGGTGCCTGGGTGGCTCAGTTGGTTAAGCATCTGTCTTCCGCTCAGGACATGATGCCAGGGTCCTGAGATCGAGTCCTACATCGGGCTCCCTGCTCAGTGGGGAGTCTGCTTCTCCCTCTACCCCTCTCCCTGCTCATGCTTTCTCTCTCTCTCTCAAATAAACAAATAAGATCTTAAAAAATAAACAATGATAATAATATCTGACTGGGGCTTGGGTGGACTGAGGTGGTTCTCAAACTGTCTTCAGGCAGCAGCAGCAGCAAGGAAATAGGGAAATGTTAGACATGCAAATTCTCAGACCCACCCCGCCTCCTAAATCAGAAACTCCCAGAGCGCAGCAATCTGCATTTTAACAAGCTCTCTGGGGGCCTCTGACCTTCGCCAAAGTTTGAGAACCCCTCTTGAAAGAGCCATCCTCCAAGATTTGGACTCGTGGTTCTCAATGCTGATTGCGCATCAGACCTGCTACGTGGCTTGATAAAGCCTGGGCTGCACCCCCATCTTTTTCTGATTCCAAAGATTTGGAGTGGTTTCTGGGAGTGTGTGGCTTTAAAAGCACCAGGGGGATGTGGATTTAGGGGCCGAGCAGAGGGATGGTAACCTCTCAACATGAATGGTGGTCTATGGCCCCTGGCTCGTGAGGTACAAC